GGGGGGTATGTACCATGTTCACCAAAGTAGAAGTTTGGGTATAGGGTGCAAACCATTTATTGGCTAACGAAACCCAAACTTCTACTTTGTTTATGGCTAGCGTGTCCAATTCGGAGGTTTTCTTTCACTTTCTCTCCCAGAGAAGCAACAGGAAGTGAGAGAAAACCACTACAAAGGTAAAGGGACTCCTCTCTTGATTGTCAGCCGATCAAGAGTCCCCCATTGGAGGATTTCCCCTCTATTCTGCTCTGGTGACAACTCGTATTTTTGGATTTTTCGCCACTTTCAGTCCTGGGGACAATGGAGCGGGTGAATCCCCCTGAGTGTAGACAGTAGTCAAAGTTGGAAACGTTTCCTTCTCTATCCAAAACTAAGAATAACGTTTTGGCTTCACATGCACTTTGTATGAGGAACAACAGTCGGTGTTGTCCACTCTCTAGGTGTTGGGAGGATCGAACTGGTTGCTATGGGCAACAAATCCAGTTAAAATCAGGCGCATTCGGAAATGAGGCGCATATTGTTTTATGGCTCACCAAGTCAAGGCACAAAAGCCGACCCAGATTTCTGTGGCACTGGCTATCCTCCCTATATGTATGACATATACCCTAAAATCTCTACATTCTGCCTCAGCTAAGCTTACCATCTAATGTCCTACACATCAGAGGACTTGCAGGGAGATTATGATTTGTTGGGGTGACATGACCCCACCATCCAGTCCACAGAGACTGCTGGGACCCCTTCCTCTCATAATAAGAAGACATTATTACCTCCTCCTCACTGGACACACATCCTCCAGTCTCACACTCCCACCATGAAATGTATTAGCATTTAAGAATAAAAAAAACCCTTCCTCTGAACTACACAAACATGGCCGCTGTTTTCCTACACTTTGCTCGTCCTAAATAATTTTATAGAAAAAAAACAAATGACAGTCCGGAACCCAAAATAAAAATCAATAATATTAAGAAAACTTGTAAATATTTTAATTGTAAAGCAGATTAATCAGCTTTCAATTGAACTACAAGAAGATGGCCGCGAGTTTTCTAATGGGAGGAAGGAGTCTGTGGAAGGGTTGGCCTCTAGCGGTTGCTCTGAATAGATCAGCCTAGTGGGCGGGGTTTTCCTAATAAGGCGCTGTGCCAGATTCCTCTTCGTCCTCTGGATCCTGAACGCGTTTCCGGGTTGCCCGGTTGTTTCTAGTTGCTATGGAGACGCGCAGAGGGAATGACGAGTAAGGAGGTTGGCGGCCATATTCTTGTAGCCCAATGCAGTATGGCAAAAAGTATCCTCCTGGTGGTGGTGTGAGGCTGGAGAGTGTGTGCCCAGTGAGGAGGAGGTAATAATGTCTTCTTATTATGAGAGAACGGGGTCTCAGCACTCTGGGTGGATGGGGGGGGAGGTCATGTCACCCCCAACAAATCATCTTCCTGCAAGTCCTCTGATGTGTAGAACATTAGATGGTGAGCTCCGCTGGGGATGACGGCGCTGGGGGTGTATTCTACGGAAAGCCGCAACATCTTCTAGAAGACTTTCGATGAAGAATAAAATCTCTTGTGGCTCCATCAGTGTTTCTACAAAGGAGTATTGCCGTTCCCCCTTAATAAAGCGATTCATGAAAGTTAGAAAATTACATCTGAAGGCTGAAATTAAAAATAACTACCATTAAACTGTACAAAGTCTTGTATTATGATGTCATATGTGATGATGTCATATGTTATATCAACCGTAAAAATGGAGTTTCACTTACAATGCTTAGTGATTGTATAACCGGATAGAGTTCTCCTACTTTCACTTTCATCCAGATGGGATTTGGTTTATTGTTCTGTTATTGATTTATTGCATTGCAAGTAAGAGCAGAGGGAATAGAAGGACACCGGGATTTCTACAAGGACGTCATGATGGAGAACCGGCCGCCCCTCACATCACCGGGTAAGAGGAGACTTTCATTTCTTGAGTATTGAGGATCCCCCTAGATACACACATCCTCTGATATAAAGACATAGAAACAATGTATTCAGTCAGTGTGTGTGTTTCCTACAGATGGGTCCAGTAACAGAAATACCCCAGAGAGATGTCCCCGTCCTCTGTATTCCCGGGATTCCACACAGGAACATCAGGAGATCCCTCAGGCCCATCCTCTGTATTCCCGGGATTCCACACAGGAACATCAGGAGATCCTTCAGGCCCGTCCTCTGTATTCCCGGGATTCCACACAGGAACATCAGGAGATCCCTCAGACCCGTCCTCTGTATTCCCGGGATTCCACACAGGAACATCAGGAGATCCCTCAGGTCCGTCCTCTGTATTCCCGGGATTCCACACAGGAACATCGGGAGATCCCTCAGACCCGTCCTCTGTATTCCCGGGATTCCACACAGGAACATCATGAGATCCCTCAGGTCCATCCTCTGTATTCCCGGGATTCCACACAGGAACATCAGGAGATCCTTCAGGCCCGTCCTCTGTATTCCCGGGATTCCACACAGGAACATCAGGAGATCCCTCAGACCCGTCCTCTGTATTAGCGGGATTCCACACAGGAGCATCATGAGATCCCTCAGGTCCGTCCTCTGTATTCCCCGGATTCCAAACAGGAACATCAGGAGATCCCTCAGAAACATTAGGAGATCCTCACGGACATCAGGAGATTCCTCAGGAGGGTCAGGTAGCAAGCACTGAGAATCTCGACAAAACTTTTTATCATTTAAATATTTATTTAGACAATCCGACTAAATAAATGTTTGTTATGTAAATAAAGAGTGAACATCCCATTAAAGTAGAAGCAAAAGGGAAAGCAGAAGAGATGTCTGTCTGTTCATTTTGTTGCGATTTTGCGGGCGCACGCAATTTTAAAGTTTGACATGTTTGTCAAACATTTGGGTGACGGGAGGACGCTAGTCGGTGTTCTCCCGTTACCCTTAGGAGACCTATGGGGAAAAACACTGACCCCATAGTTCTCCTTTAAGGTAAGTGCTTTCATTAACATTGGGGGGAGGGGGGAAAAATTAGACTTTAATGTATATAGCTGTGTTTTGCTACATTATTGTTTGGCAAATAAAAATTGCACTCAACACTGGATAGCCAGAGCCCCACGGGTTAGCTAAAGAGACAGCAGAACAGAAGCTGCCTGCTTTGAGACGGGATATGTCTGACTGAAAACTCCAACTAAACCATCTTATGAGGACTGAATCCCTCCTTGGACTCGCTCTGTCATTGTACGTGGCCTACCACTTCCTGTCTGAGTTGCTGTTGTTCCCAGTTGCTTCCACTTTGTTATAATCCCAGTAACAGGTGACAGCGGAATATTTAGTAGTCAGGAAATGTCACGGATGGACTTATTGCACAGGTGACAACCTATCACGGCACCACGCTTGTAGTCACTGAGCTCCTGAGAGCGACCCATTCTCTCACAAATGTCTGTAGAAGCATACGAATGCCGAGGTGCCTGATTGTATACACCTGTGGCCATGGAGGGGATTGGAACACCTGAATCCAATGACTTGGTGGGGGTGGAGCCCAATACTTTTGGCAATATCGTGTACTTGTTGCCAGTGCTATTTCTTTCAGCTAAAAGCTGTTTGCCTTCAGACTGTCTCTCTCCAACCAACACTCTGTATGGCCACAACATGTCTGGTGTTTATAAGGCCTCATTCACACAGGAATTGGCCGGCACGTACATCTCTGTGCTGCGTGCAGGGCCCTATCGGGCAGCTCCTGGGAAAGACAGGTGCTGATTACTACGCAGCCCCCGTCCTTCTCTATGGGAGTACGCGGCTGTATGCCCCCCTACGCTCACCCGCCCTGCACGTCCTAGGGCCAGTATTTTTGGGTATCTCTAAACTGATGACCTGTGCGGGCTTTTAAAGCGGCGTCTATGGACTTTTCGGGGTTTTGTTGCCGTTTCACGGACGCACACAATTTTTAACCTGGGCATGTCGGGTATCTATTTACTCGTTGTCACCTCATCTTTTATATTTTATTTTAAAAATGGGTATTTTATTGTGTTTTGGGGCATTTAAGTGCATTTTTTCACTAAATTGTGGAGTTTGATAAGGAGTTGTGCTAATATTGTGCATAACATAAAAATTTGCAACTGCCGCCATTTTGTTCTGCAGGGTCTCGGCTTTCAGAAAATATATCATGTTTGGGGGGTTTTAAGTAATTTTCAGGCCTAAAATGCGGAATATCACATGGGTGCAAAAAATGAAAAGAAGGCCTCGGTCATGAAGGGTTTAAGAATTCACGCGCACACTAGAAGGCTCTTCCTTCCAAATCAATTTATTGCATGTGATAAACCCGAGGTTTCGGTTCATTTTTCGAAGCACAGACCCGGGATTACCAAACATCGCCTGTATGAGTCCTTTGAGGTTCACTAAGACGGGTAAAATGGTTTCCAGGGAGAAAGCGTCCCATCATTCGTATTTCTAAGGTCCACCATATTTGAACCCCAAAACCACTTCATTCCTGTGGGAATCCATAGGCCTACTTGACACTGGTTACACTCTGAACATGCGTATGGTGAGTTGTCCACCAAATCCCCCCCAATTTTTTTTCTGGTCAACCATTTCCCTCATTCCAAAGACTACTGCACCAGCGCATCATTTCACCTGCATGAGCTTCCTCATGAATAAGTTTAGAATGTTAAGAAGAAAAACTCTACCCACATGCCAAACGTTAAGGCTTTCACCGTATGGGTTGACTCGTGGCAAATGTATTGTTTATTATGTCAAAGTTCTGTTCACGAAAAAAGCTTCTCTCCTTCGTGAGCTCTATTGTGCTTATTAAGCAAATGTTTGAAAGGAAAACACTTCCCGCACTCTGAACATGAATAAGGTTTCTCCCCTGTATGAGTCATCTTATGACAGGCAAGGCTTTTGGTCTGGGAAAAAGATTTACCGCATTCCGAACACAAATACGGCTTCAGCCCCGTGTGAGTCCTCTGATGCACGATGAGGGCGTTACGCCAGGTGAAACATTTCCCGCATTCCGAACAGGAATAAGGCTTCTCCCCCGTGTGAGTCAACTGATGCGAGGTAAGGTGGACTTTCTGGTTAAAACACTTTCCGCATTCTGAGCAGGCAAATGGCCTCTCGCCCGTGTGAGTCCTCTGATGGTATCTAAGATGGTCTCGCTGGGAAAAGCACTTCCCACACTCCGAACACGTGTGTTCCCCCGTATGCAGTTTTTCGTGTTTGACAAGGTACGACTTGATGGGGAACTTCTTATCGCACTGCGAACAGGAATATGGATTCTCCCCTTTGTGGCTTATCTGGTGTACAGTTAGATTGTATCTCCGGGTGAAAGACTTCCCACATTCGGAACATACAAATGGCTTTTGTCCTTTGTGACCGATCTGGTGGGGGGGTGACTTGGTTCTCTGGTGAAGACGTTCACCACGCTCATGGGTGGTACCACCATGACCAACAAAACTCTCTCCATCGGTAGGGGGATCGGATAATCCATCAGCATCATCAGCACTGTGCGGTTCTGGAGGGAGATCAGGGGTAATGGGGTTTGCTTCGGAAGACTTGGATGTCATCTCATCCTCTTCTATTGTATTATCTGGAGAGGTATCAGGATGTTCCTCAAAGTTGTACCTTCTGTAACGTCCATCTGAAGGGAATAGAAGGATAAAGCAGAATATAAAAACAAAGGTTATTCCAGTTATGGTCACCAAAAGCGCCCTGGACTCACGTTGTACTGATCCAAAGGGTGGCGCTTAGGTCATCTCCACTCTCTGCATCATCGAGGACCACCCACCTCCAGAGAAGAAGAGAAAGTGGACCGTTCACATCCCGTAACCTAACCAGCCTCAAGACATCAAAACAGCTCCTGTATATGAACTATATCTATGCGGTCACATATTTGCCAGTTGCAATTATCTCCTCGTAGATCCATTGTAATGGTTCAAAATGTTTATAAAAACTAGGGATGCACCGATACTCGTACTCGCCCAAATGCTCCGATACCGGAACCTCCAGTCAGCGGAAGATTATCTCTGACCGACAGTGCCACAGGGGAAAATGGAGCCGGCTTCCTGGGCAATCAGCATCGAGCCGGCCGAACTTCGAGATCTGAGATTTCCTCTATTGATGTTTATGACTCACCTGTGCCGATTTCTACAGAAATGTCCTCCTCTTTGATCCTCACATGTCCATCTTCCTCCTCAGCTTTGATGTCTCTCTGAGTGTCTCCGCTGCCCCCGGGATCTGTGAATAAAGATGAGAGTGAAGCCCCCTGTACTGAGATGTATGAGAGACCCCAGAGAGTGTGTGTGGGGGGGAGACTGATAACGTCTCTTGGCTGGTAACACACAATGGCATGATGTGAGGAGGAGAGCCTGAGTCTAATAGAGGCTGATGGCTCCTGACTCCCCCCACTAGACACATTCCGTCCCCCCCATTACTGTCTACTGACAGAGGAGGGGGGAGAAGAAGAGATTGTTGTAGTGACTGAACAAGGAGAATCTGGGACTCTTTTTCTGGATTTAGTGTTTATTCCTCACTTGTGCTGATCTCTGGAGGGATTTCCTCTTCAATACACGGCTCATCGCCAGTCATGTAGGTCTCTTCCTTTTTAACAATAATCAGACCTTCAACCTATAGAAGATACAACGCTTTATATTTTAACAGTGAATTGTTCAGATAACAGAATAATATCAGTTTAAATCAATGCACTCAGTCCCACCTACCTGATCCTCCTGAGGGATCTCATGATGTTCCTGTGTGGAATCCCGGGAATACAGAGGACGGGCCTGAGGGATCTCATGATGTTCCTGTGTGGAATCCCGGGAATACAGAGGACGGGCCTGAGGGATCTCCTCATGTTCCTGTGTGGAATCCCGGGAATACAGAGGACGGGTCTGAGGGATCTCCTGATATTCCTGTGTGGAATCCCGGGAATACAGAGGACGGGCCTGAGGGATCTCCTGATGTTCCTGTGTGGAATCCCGGGAATACAGAGGACGGGGACATCTCTCTGCGGTATTTCTGTTCCTGGATCCATCTGTAGGAAACACACACACTGACTGAATACATTGTTTCTATGTCTTTATATCAGAGGATGTGTGTGTCTAGGGGGATCCTCAATACTCAAGAAATGAAAGTCTCCTCTTACCCGGTGATGTGAGGGGCGGCCGGGTCTCCATCATGACGTCCTTGTAGAGATCCCTGTATCCTTCTATAGACTCCCACTACTCCATATGTCTGCATCAATGCTTGAAGAGTAAGCTGGTTTGTAAACCTCAAACTGCAATATATGTTCCTTGTTAGCCCAATAACGCTGCAGAACAACTGATTGGCTCCTCATGCTGCTTCTCCCTCTCCCAGTCTGTGCTCGGCTGTACATGGACATCCAGAGGGTGACACTAGGTCAGATTTAGGTACTTACACTGCTTGCATTAAAAAAGAAGTGCATGAAATGATTTATTAATGAATACAGAGCGGAATTTTCTGTTGTTTAAATCTGCTTTTTACAAAAGTAGCATTATGCTTTGCTTCGATAATGTTTATATGAACAGCTCATCTCCCGGGTTGGGGCTCAGCAGAGAATACACCCCCAGCGCCCAGTGGAGCTTACCATTTAATCTCCTACACATCAGAGGACTTGCAGAAAGATGATGATTTGTTAAGGTGACATGAGCCCCCTCATCCAGTGCACGGAGAGTGATGGGACCACCTTCTCTCCTCCTCCCCTCATAATAAGAAGACATTATTACCTCCTTCTCACTGGTGGGCACCCACTCTCCATACTCACACCCCTACCAGGAAGTTTCTGTAACTGTAAGAAGAAGTCCTCTTAAACATCTGCTGCAGGCTTCAAGAAAATGGCTGCCACCTTACCTACACTAAACTCTTTCACTTGTTTTCATATATAAAACAAATGCACATCTGCATAATTCAATGCAATAATCAGTGTCAATAATTACGTGTTGTTGTTATCAGTAATCATTACGTTACGTCGTTTTATGGCTGAGCTACAAGAAAATGGCAGCTTTCCTTCTGAAGGGCAAAAAGCGTTTGGTGAAGCTTTGACCTCTAGAGGTTGCTGTGAGCGCGCACAGCCCAGTGGGCGGGGTTTTCCTTATAAGGCAGGGACGGATACCTGGCCTGGGCTCTGCTCTGCGTTTCTCGGCCGCTGAGGCTGTGCCTGGTTGCTATGGTGACGCCTGGGAAGATGGAAGCGTGAGGGAGTTTGGCGGTCGTTGTGTTGCTGCAAACGGCATTAAAACGACGTTGTGTTTTCTAGGAGCTGCTGGTGAGTAAGTGTTCCCAGTGAGGAGGAGTAATAATGTCTTCCTATTATGAGAGACGGGGTCTCTGCAGCGATGGAGGGAGTGGGGACCATGTCACCACAGGCTGGGTTCGTACCTAGGCCACAACGTTTTTGCAAATTTTTACACGCTGTTTATGCGCACGAATCAAGTCGCACGTTTTTGTGAGAGAATTCTAGCCTATCGATGCTAATGGGCAGACGTACGTTAAACGCGCGCATAAAACACAGCAAACGCACATTTTTAATCGTTTCCAATCGAGTCTATGGGGCCCAAATGAGCCGTAATATGACAAAAAAGAAAACCTCTGGTACTTTTTCCAGGGAAAGGTGTTTTAGCTACAATACCCTCAGTGTGAACCAGGCCTACATCATCTTTCTGCAAGTCCCCTGATGTGTGGAGTTGACGACACTGGGGATGTCCACCAACGTATAGAAATACACCTATTAGTGAGAATGGAAGCGACTTCCTCTCTGGTGGTGATGGCGTGAGGAGTCACAGGCCATTGCCATTACTCCCAGTCTTAGACCGTCTCAGCTTTTATTAACGTGGTTTACACCATTGTGAGACTTACGAATTAGTGTTAAGCTTCTACTAGCACTGTCCCCAGCCTTGCCTTCTTTAGGGGTCCTAAAAGTGCCAAGACCTTTCTGGTACATGCAGTGTTTCAAGTTCTTTACTGAAACGGGGAGAACCCTGATTCACTGTTCACTCCTCCCAAAGGTTTCAAGGCTTGTTCCTATCTGAGTATGGCTTTTTTTAAAGTAGACTGCCCCCTCTGTGGATGTGGCAGTATCCCATCTTAACAAAGCTTTGACGACCCCTGTAGAGGATGCACCTGTATTTAATTACCACATTGACAAGCGATTGGAGGTCCTTTTAAAAAAAGCTATTCCCCTTGGCAGGCCCTCCTTTGTAACCTGCCTTGGCACTTGTCTGTCAAGCTCTTACTGCCTGAGCTAAGGTCATGAAAAGGGATCCGGTTTCTCTTCAAGATGATCCTTTACTTATTGAGTATTTGGAGCTCATGTCTGCAGCCTTGAGCTACTGCATTGAATAGTTGTTAGAAGTCTCCCATCTCATCTTCTCTGAGAACCTCCTGTCTGCAAACACCTGGAGGATTCTGTGGTTAAAGTGTTGGGCTGTGGAACCGCCATGCATGTCTTTGGAGGTGAAGTGTCTCTTAGGAGCTGCTCTGAACACCCTTCAAAACGATGTCCCTTTGGACAAGAGTAACCATCTGCCTTAGTAAAGGAAGACTAGGGCTCACAGTGTAGCAACAGGTAATATGGGACCACTAGCCATTCCCAGCAGTTCAAACTATATCCTGACCGTAGTGGACTATTCTATCCGGTACCAAGAGGCTCTGGCGTTATTGTCCTGCAGGATGAACAAGGTTGTTTATGTTTTGCTTAATGGAAAAGGATTTCTTGCAGAGCTCCTCAGTGATCACAGCCCACACTTTGTGTCTGACCTGAACCATGCACTCTATCAGAAAATACATATGATGCATATTGTGGCTAATCCTTTCTGCTCACAAACAGTCTGTGTGACCAATTAAATGGAACCTTGAAACACATGTGGAGAACATTTGTGGAGTTGCAGGCAGCAGACTGGAAAAGGTATTTGCCTCACCTGCTGTTTGCCTACAGAGAGATGTCTAAAGGTGGCCATACACTCTACAACCATCGCAAGACTTTAGTCTTGCGATGGTTGTAAAGGGATTAAAAAAACGTACGATCTGCCTAATCTTGGACAGGCAGATTGCACTCTGGATCATCGCAAGCTCACCCCCCTGAGGGGCGGGCTTCCGATGACCGCAATGCTGAACGGGCACGCCGGCCCGTTCAGCATTTATCTTCCGAGCACCGTTCTAACCAGCCGAGAATCGTACGATTCCCGGCTGGTTTTCGAACATGCTGGTTCGACAGAAGACGTGCGACCGTACAGTAGAAACGGTCGCACGTCTCCGTTCACACTGCTCGATTATCGTACGAAAAACCGATCGCATACGATTATCGTGCAGTGTATGGGCACCTTTAAAGTGACATTAAACCCTCAGATTTTTTAACATAAAACAATATAACAATGTAATGTGCGCCTTACTGTAATCCATGGTAGTTTCCCTTCTCTTTGCTGCTTTTCCTTTTAAATCTGTATCTGTTCTCATGCTCTGCAGAACTTCTGTTTTGCAGCAGACTGCCTTGTCTCAGGAATGGATATACGGTGTCTGTGTATTAGTTTCTATAGGCTTGTAACCTGAGCCAGCACTACAGGAAGAGGCCCTGAGCTGAAAAGGGAAGTTCTCCCCAAGCATGAGAAGACATGAGGATTTAAAAGGAAGAGCAGCAAAGAGAAGGGAAACTACCATGGATTACAGTAAGGCGCACATTACAGTATTGGTTTATGTTAAAAAATCTGAGGGTTTATTGTCACTTTAAGGTGCCCATACACCTTACGATTATCGTACGATAATCGTATGCGATCGACTTTTCGAACGACAATCGTATGTGTAAATAGAGTGCCCGAACCGACATTACTGTACAATCGTACGACTTTTGACGGTCAAGCATGTTTGAAAACTTTGCTCAATCGTACGATTGTCGTAAGGTTGCTGGCGTTTCCGTCCGTCAAATGTCGTACGATCTACAATGCGCATGCGCGAACGAAAATACGACAAATCAATTACCGCATTTCGTCCAGGTGCTTTTCGTTAATTACGGCTAAATTAATCTTGCGATCATCGGGGCAGGATGGGGCTGCCGTACGAAAATCGTACGACTATTCGATCATCGGATGAAACGTTTCGTCCGATAATTGTAAGGTGTATGGGCACCTTTTAGGGTTTGTTGAGCTCCCGCAGTGCATTGGCTATATCTGGTCATCTTCCTGATAATGGTGGAATTAATAAAATACTGTTCTTGTAGTTCGTTGAGGGACACGGCTCCCGCCCCACTGTGGTTATTCTTTTGGTACTGTTTTTCCACCAAACTGAGGAATGCTGGGAGCAGGATTGGTTATACTGGGCTGGCCACATTTTTCTTTATTTTCTAGTGTTGAAATCCTCTAGTATTAGTATAACCCAACAGTATCTGTATGCCAGCCTAGAATAACTACGAGGGGTAGATTTTACGGCAAGTACAAAACCCTTTTTTTCCTGCATTGTTTTGACTTGACTGGTGCTTAGGTAATACATGTGAGGGGTATTAAGTCCTGCAGGGTTATTCACATAAGGGTGAAGAGTTTGGAGAAGTGAACAATCTAGGACAACATAGCTGAACCAGAAAGTGAGCTGAATTGGAGAATTTTTCCAGTTCGGCTATGTTGTCCTAGATTGTTCACTTCTCCAAACTCTTCACCCTTTTGTGAATAACCCTGCAGGAGTAGTGTGAGCCCAGGCTCTATGATGATTTGCCCCCCAGGGGCCTGTCATGGATGCCCTGGGCTTACAAGAAATAAGTTAGACCTAGAAGAGAAGCCGAGAGTGGCGAGTCTGCTGACCACACTAGAGAGTATGCGAGTATTGCAGGAGAGTCATCTCCCAGCTTCTTATGTGTTCAATACTCCAATAACGAGATGTCCCCGCCCTATTTTCTGGTTTTGTTGCTGTCCACTTGGGAGTTTTTGATGTCCCCTCTACCTTTTGAGTGTTCTGGCCCTTCTTGGTACATTTTTCATGATATAAAAGAACTATGGACACAGCTGGTGAAAATGGACACAGCCGGTGTGAAGGCCTGGAAAGTCAGCAAAGAGATCTCGCCAATAGAGTCCTCGAGAGTTAAATAAAACCGGCAGATGGTACAAGTCTCCTGCATCAACCAAAACCTGAAATACCATTTTTTTTTTTAGCCCAGTAGTTAACATTTTGGGGTTTTGGTAATGTAAGTCAGGAGTTATGTTTAAAAGGGAAAGCGTAACTATATCTAAACAGTTAAAATTACATAACTTGTGAGCTAGATTCAGCCTAAAAAAGGTATTAGGTTTGGACAATTTTCCAATCCAGCTAATTTATTACCTGAAGAAACTTTGACTACAGAAAAGATTTTTGTTATTGCATAAAGGAACTCAATGGAGTTGTTCACCATGTTACAATTACAGACTCCCAATGGATTGCTCCTCAATATGTCTTCATACCCCCTTGGCCAGCCTAAAAATCATCATCATCACCACCAGTCTGATTAGGTATTTGTATTACTTAAAAAGATGTCCATAGCTTGGTTTTTCTATACACATATGGAAAGTGAGGAACAGAACAGCAGGAAAGAAATATGGATTTTCTCATATTTATTTATTTAAAAATGTCAAATCACAGATACATAAGCCGGCTACAACGAGTGAGATTCTTGCTGTTTATGTGCAATCAAAACATGGAATCAGAAAAAAATGGAGAAGCCAAGCTTGAATTGAGGTGGGGGGGGCATCTATTGTCTGCCACATACAATGCTGTTATAACACCTCTCTCTGGGAAGGTTATTAACACCTCCTAGACTCCAATTATGCAAATGCAATCAACACCTGGTTCTATTCTATTTATTCGCAGATAATTTTTGTACAAGTCATTCTGAATTGAGAAAGCTGGTTGGATGACCAGTGAAACGTCTTCAAGAAAAATACAGCAAGTCCAGTTGCCTTGTCTTATTTTTTACAGATATACCATGACCTGGAGGAATGAGAACCTTCGCAGACATGGAATCAATGTACAGTTACTGACACAGTGCGTCAAATTACTTTCTCCACTTTGCCCATAGGTTCAGTAACCCAGAGAATCTCATTTTCAATTCTGTTTAAAATTATTCCGAGGCCATACTCCAACATTTGTTTCCCATGCCGTCAAGGTGTATAGATACCCCCAGTTAAGAACCCGTGCAATAACTGAAACTGTATTAGTATACCAACAACACACACTGCGATACCAGTCTATCTGTAAGACTATACCTGGCCGTGCAGGTGCTTCTGCGCATGTGAGTAGGCCTGTCTTTCGCATGTACAGGAAACATGCGCGCACAACGGAGCGTGTGAGCAAAGACGCGCTAACGTGGCGCACAGGAAATGATGCCGCTTCCTTGAATAGATGGCCCTATTTAAACCTGCCAGTCCTATGGATCATTGCTGGATGGTCTTTCAGCTCGTGTGTGTTTTCCTCTGCTTCTGCCTGTTCCAGTGTTCTGTAGCCTTGACCCGGATCTCCTTTTGACGACGCCTGACTGGTGCCTGCCCCTGACCTCTGCTTGCTCCTAGACTATTCTCCTGCCTGCCGCCTTGTACTTCTCTGCCTGATCAGTGTTGACCCTGGCCTTCCTGCTCTACCAGCATTCCTCGTTGTCCTTCCAGCTGCATCCACACTTGCTTCCTTGAAGACCAGCTTCGGGACATACCCAGGCACAGTGCCCTACACTCTCTGGCACCGGTGCTGCTCTCTGTCCTCTCACTCCCTGTCTCCACTCTCAGGGGTGTGGGACAAGAGTTGCAAAGGAGGCCTCCTCAACTACTCGGTTCTCTACCAGGTACATGATACTATCTGGTATACTAAACATGTGTACTGCAAATAAATCTTTTCTTTAATCAAAAATATATATATTTACTATAGATCAGTGTCTCTGTTTATTTTAGAAGAAAAAAACCATAGAGACAGAGTACAAACAAAAGGAAAGAAGGATGATGCCAAGGTCTCGGCTCAATGGAATAGGCTTCTGTGTCAAGCATACGCAAAAAAACAATCTTAGATCTAATAACAACTACAGAAAGGGTTCCGATAAATCTCTAGTATACCAAATCTGATTATATTTTAATATTACACCTTGCACTTAGGTATTTTTTACGAAACAAAATACATTTTATTTGAAAAAAAATATGCCCAGCCTTCCAGGATTCGCATCAAGTAGTACTCAAGCTAGAACGATTCATAGTGGTGGATAAAGTATGGAAAAGTTACAACATCTGTGTGGTCTCCTGCGGTTTCCTGATTGAGGTGATATCCCAACTTCAGTGTCACCAGGGCAAGAAAATAGGAAATCGCTCCAGCGACGACACAGGAAAACAGAAATTTGATGGATCTACTAACTGTATACAACATTACCGAAACACTGCGATTTGACCTTTGTGGAGAGAATCTGTCTTAGTTACGATCTTGAAGACAGCAGTAAAGATCTGACGTGAAAATGTGTCCACTCTGCCAAAGAGAAAAGGTTTTGACTGGCATTTCACTTAAATACTTTTACTTCAGTGCCGTGGAACACTGCCTGCCGTAGTAAATACGCACTCATTTGTGGTATTATGGCAGGAGCACATCGGTATTTTTTTTTTTTTAGTAGCTGATCAAGCTACACAAATGGAACCTTATGGTGTAAGCCACACCAGTGTGTAGTTGTGGTTTATTGCACAAGTTTGGATCACTATACCATTAAGTGCCACTACATTCCTCTGAGTGTCAAACGGCTGCTACTCGATTATTGCTCTGATTAACCCCCAGCATGGCCGACCTCCTAAAATTGCCCTATGCTCCCATCACGTGCTAGTCTGACACAAGTATACAAAAGCACTTTGGCCCATGAATGGAGAAGACAGGGTACTCTCATTTTATTCTATTTGATAGGAGTATAAAGGTCCATTATAGAGGGTGGAATGATTTTCAAACTAAGCGCTAAATGTGAAAACAAAAATAGAAAATTCACCATGTCCTACTTTTTAAAATTTGTCATCAATCTCGGGGGCAGACGTCTTTTGTTCTCACTGCATTCTAAAAGGGCTCTTTATTGTATGCCATGTGAAGTACAGGCCCCAAGCCACCAAGCAGTAAAGCCATTTGGCACCTGGGTCTTGAACAGCCATATTGGTCTCTGAACAAGCTTGGCACATGTGCAAAAATACCAGAGCACTGCTAGAACACCGCAAGCTGTAAACAATGCCCCGGCCCTGGCCAGGCTGCAAAAGCAAGAGCACACGGATGTTCAGGCATAGATGAGTTGCTGCCTTGGCCATTTTGAAGAGGGGAGGTAGGATGTTCTATTGTTTCAGTACTAAAGTTACCCTTTTGCGCTAAGGTATATTGTGCCATTGCGAGTGGAACAAGTGTGGAGCCTTTAAGCAGTTTTTTTTTTTTTCAAACTCTAATACTTGTGCGCTGTGTAGTAGTCCTTTCCTTTTCTGTCCCTTCATAGCAAGGGAATATGGATCTTTATTACACAGCAGTGTTTTTTCAACATGCTTTATCAGGTGACCAATGGCAGTAGACACCTGATGGGAGACCAACAATTCAGCTCAGAGCATCTTCACTGTGTAATAGTTCTTTCCGTTTCTGTCCCTTCATAGGAAGGGAATATGGATCTTTATTACACAGTAGTGTTTTTTCAACATGCATGATCAGGTGATCAATTGCTAATGGCAGTAGACACCTGAGCAGCTTCACTGTGACCATGGCCATTAGTAGCAGCCTGACTATAGACAGTGCTTGCTCGTCATAAAGCGGCACGGTTGAGCGTAGGTATACCAGTATTTCAACATATGTTCATGCAATAAAGAGCGTCGGGCATGAAGGGGCATCCCTAATGAAGAGGTTGGGGCATGAAGGACATTGGGGCATCCACCAATGAAGAGGTTGGGGCATGAAGGACATTGGGGCATCCACCAATGAAGAGGTCGGGGCATGAAAGACATTGGGGCATCCCCAATGAAGAGGTTGGGACATCCCTGCCGTGGAAGCCGATGGCAAATCAGACATTAAGTTTCCCAGCTACATACGGGATTAAGTAAGGAGAAACAGTAACACTGAGAAGAATTGTTTACTTATCGTGTGTCTTCTGAAGAAGAAGTCTAGCAAGTATGATTTTACAGGCCAACAGAAGGACATGACCAAAGAACATGATCTAGAGACCCAACATGTCTATTGCACCTCCAACACCTTGTAGACCCTTCAAAATGAATGGCAGAAAAGTGGAGCAGGCTACCAGCGCACTAGAATCTCATACTGACAGACCTTTTGTTCCAATTCATACATAACTCTATTAAATTATACTATATATATATATAATCATTTCCCGGAGTTCAGCTTTACGGTATCACCACCGTTTGGATCATCTGATACGAGAGAAGATGTGCTCTCTTGTGAATTCGAAGATGTGCATTCAGATTGGATTTCCTGTTAAACCGTTTCCCACATTCGTGGCAGCAGTAGGGAAGGTCGCCGGTGTGAATGATCTCGTGGGCGGCCAGATTCGATTTCAAGGCAAAACATTTCCCACATACGGAACATGAATACGGCTTCTCCCCCGTGTGAAGCCTCTCGTGCCTCGTCAAGGAAGATTTGTGAAAGAAGCATTCGCCGCATTTGGAACATTTATATGGGTATTTCCCTGTGTGGATTTGTTCGTGCCTGATGAGATAAGACTTGATCGGGTAACTTTTGCCACATTCGGAACAAATGAACGGCTTCTCCGCCGAGTGAGTTTTCTGATGGGCGGCAAAATTCGATACTTTGGCAAAGCTTTTCCCGCATTCAGGGCACGAATAAGGCCTCTCCCCTGTGTGAGTTCTCTGGTGCTCAATGAGATGGATTCTCTGAGTGAAACACTTTCCACATTCGGAACATGAGAATGGCTTCTTTCCTGTGTGACACATCTGATGCGAGATGAGATGGCCCTTCTTGGAAAAACATTTTCCGCAGTCCGAACATGGATATGGCTTCTCCCCTGCGTGACCTCTCTTTTTCGAGGCAGCTTTTGCTCCCTGACCAGAAGACTTGCTACGCTTGTGGGTGGTATGAGGTGCCTCACCAGGTAAACTTCCTCCATGTGTCGAAGGGTCTTCTGTACAACTATCTGAACAGATAATGGGAGTTTCATCTGTGTACTTTTTATATCGTCCATCTGGTGGGGGGAAAAAAATGTAGTTAGGACATACTGGAACTATACTGCCACAACAAATCCACACCAACGTTTATAAGTTTGTCTTATACCATCTACTCCATCTTGGAAAAAAAGTACAAGATACAAAAAAACAGACATCCCACCGACATAATGTCATAACATTGTACTATCCAAGCCATGCTGCCTCCTCGTTCCGCTAACTGCAGCTTAGTAGCTCATCATTTAATCACCTGATCATACGTTCCTGACCTGTGAAGCATGCCTGCTCCTCTTTGCTCTACTCTGTTGGCCGCTGCCTTTTGATCATGAACAGCTACTTCCTCTTGGTATTCCATGTATGTTCGGGACCTTTGCAGGTGGTCAGCTGTTTTCCAGTTCTATGACCCCTTTCTTGTTTTCTGTTGCATCTTCATGCTTCCTTACATGCCCTCTCCCCCGCCCCCCCACTTCTTGGACACCTTTCTTGCAGCTTCTGTTGTGTGGCACTCTTTCCAAATGGTGGCTAGATTGAGTAGATGCTTTGGCTATGGTACAACTGTAACCCACATAGCTAAAGAGCACACTGCGATGCATCATCATATAGAGAGTTGGTATTCCCTGGCAGCGTTGTTACTATAGTTGCCATCCGCTGTTGGCTGAATGTTAAAGAAACTTAGACTGCTTCAGAAGTGCTACTGGATAAATGGCCTCCTCAGTTGTACAGCAGCATTTATATCTGACCAAAAGTTTATGGACACCTGACCATCACACCTAGACAAGCTTGCTGAACATCCCATTCAAACCATGAGCATTCATATTGAGATCTTTAATAGCTTCCGCTCTCCTGGGAAAGATTTCCACAAACTTTTGGAGTGCATCTAGGAAGCCAATTGTCACGATCTGGATCAGGCTTGGAGTCCAGTAGCTGAAACAGCAGGCAGAAGCGTAGTCAAACAGGCCGGGTTCGTTACACGAGCAGACGGTAGTAGTATGGGAGCAGGCAGAAGCGTAGTTCGTGATCAAGCCGAGGTCAGCAGCCAAAGGTATCAGGTATGAAGTAGAAGACGATGAGAGTAGTCTGTGAATCAGCAGCCAAAGGTCGCTACACGGGTAGCAGTATGAGCGGATTGTATCACAGGAGGAGCAAGGAAGCAAGATATTGGCAGGAGCACAGTAATCTGGCAAACATGGAAGTACAGAGATGTGGCTTAAATAGGAAGTTCAAGGGAGGAGCAAGGAGTTCAGCAGAAATGAGGTTTAACTGAGGATTACACAGGAGATCAGGCAAGGAGCTATCCAAGGTTCTAAGGTGGCTCAGCAGGTAGAACCACCACCAGCTACAGCAGAAGCCCTGGGTTCAGATCCGGTTCCTGACACCAATTTAATCAGAAGAGAATTTATAAGGCAAAACACCGCATGCTGAATGAGCAGACCTGGCGAGCATTCAACTTTCAAGGTATTCAGAAGGGTGGAGTAGTTTTTGTACATTAGACTCATCAAACCAAGTCTTTATGGAGCTGGCTTTGTGAACAGGGGATAGTCATGCCGGGACAGAAAAGGCCTTCACCAAACTTACCACAATTGATCACTATGATTGGCTGTCATAATAGTCACATGGTTGGAAACCAATCAGAATGGCTTCCAATAAATAGTGCCAGACCAGCGCTGTCAGTAGCTGTGTGGTCTCAGAACTAGAATCCTCCACTGCTGCAGTGCCAAACAAAAGGTTCACTTGAATGTTGAGCAGCTGCTTTTCTTTACCTTCCTCTGCGGCTCCCTTTTGCCAAGCTAGAGAAGTGATGACATACCTTGAACTGGGAGAATGCAACTTACTCTCCTTCTAAAAGAGGCTGATGGCTCCTGACTCCCCCACTGGGCACATACTGTCTCCCCAGCTTTGATGTCTGTGAGAAGAGAGTGAAGCCCTCTGAGATGTATGAGAGACCCCAGAGAGTGTGTGTGGGGGGAGACTGGTCACGTCTCTTGGCTGGTAACACACAATGACCTGATGTGAGGTGCTCCTCTGCATGCAATTAAGTGTTAAGGAAGTAGAAGAGGTGCTTGCAATGAGTGGAGAAGGAGAAACTGTGAATCCTTTCTGTATTTAGTGTTTTTTTTACTCACCCGTGCCAATTTCTACAGGAATTTCCTCCTCTTTAATCCTTACATGTCCTTCTTCCTCCTCTTCATCTTGATTGTCTGTCTCTCTGTTGTCTGCAAATAAAAGATGTGAGTGAAGCTGTACCCTGTACTGAGATTAAAGGACGCAGAAAGCGGCTAGAAACACACGATGACATGATGTGAGAAGAGCCGGAGTGTAACAGAGGCTGATGGCTCCTGACTCCCCCCACTAGACACATTCCGTCCCCCCATTACTGTCTACTGACAGAGGAGGGGGAGAAGAAGAGATTGTTGTAGTGACTGAACAAGGAGAATCTGGGACTCTTTTCTGGATTTAGTGTTTATTCCTCACCTGTGCTGATCTCTGGAGAACGTTCCTCCTCCTTACACGCCTCATCATCCATCACATATGACTCTTCTGGTTCTTCTTTAATCTTCACAAGGATTTCTTCCTCCTCCTCAGCTTCTGATGTCCCTCCAGTTTCTCCGGAGTCTGTGAATAAAGATGAGAGTGAAGACCCCCCTACTGAGATGTATGAGAGACCCCAGAGAGTGTGTGGGGGGGAGACTGGTCACGTCTCTTGGCTGGTAACACACAATGACATGATGTGAGGAGGAGAGCCGGAGTCTAATAGAGGCTGATGTCTCCTGACTCCCCCCACTAAACACATTCCGTCCCCCCATTACTGTCTACTGACAGAGGAGGGGAGAGAAGAAGAGATTGTTGTAGTGACTGAACAAGGAGAATCTGGGACTCTCCTCCGGACTTAAGATTTATTTCTCACCTGTGCTAATCTCTGAAGGAATTTCCTCCTTTTTAATCTTCACACATGTCACTTCTTTCTCAGCTTTGACATTTCTGTGAGAGATTATTGTGTCTCTAGATGAGGATGAGAGTGAAGCCTCCTGTGCTGAGATGTAAGACGGACTCCAGACAGTATGTGTGGAGGGAGACTGATTATGTCTCTTGGCTGGTAAAACACATTGAACAGCGGTGAAGAGCTGGTGCTTAATGGGGTCTGGTGGCTCCTGGCTCCCCCGTTGGTCACAGACTGTATCTTTATTGCTTTCTAGTGACAGAGGAGGGGGAGAAGAAACTGAATAAAGAGAATCTGGGACTCTTTTCTGTATTCAGTCTTTACTACTCACCTGTGCTGATCTCTGGAGGAAGTTTCTCCTTTTTAAACAGTGCATCACCTCTCACACAAGTCTCTTTTGATTTATCTTCAACCTTCACACATCCTTTGTTCTTTTCTGTTTCTCCTTTTTTCTGAGTCAATCTGGTGTCTGTGGATAGATAAGAGAGTGAAGCCCCCCTGTACTGAGATGTATGAGACCCCAGAGAGTGTGTGTGGGGGGGAGACTGGTCACGTCTCTTGGCTGGTAACACACAATGACATGATGTGAGGAGGAGAACCGGAGTCTAATAGAGTCTGATGGCTCCTGACTCCCCCCACTAGACACATTCCGTCCCCCCATTACTGTCTACTGACAGGGGAGGGGGGAGGAGGGGGGAGAAGAAGAGATTGTTGTAGTGACTGAACAAGGAGAATCTGGGACTCTTCTCTGGATTCAGTGTTTATTCCTCACCTGTGCTGATCTCTGGAGGGATTTCCTTCTTGCATGGCCCATCACCCCTCACACACGGATCTTCTGCTTCCTCTTTCACTTGAACACCAATAAAATTCTTCCCCTTAATACGACAAACATCACATAGGACATTATTTTAAATGAAATTCAACTGAACTATGTTACTCAAGAAGGAGCCTCTCAGCCCGATCTACCTGATCACGGTGAGGGATCTCATGATGTTCCTGTGTGGAATCCCGGGAATACAGAGGACGGGGACATCTCTCTGGGGTATTTCTGTTCCTGGATCCATCTGTAGGAAACACACACACTGACTGAATACATTGTTTCTATGTCTTTATATTAGGGATGCACCGATACTAGTATCGATATCGGTGCCAATACCGAGTATTTGGGCGAGTACTCGTACTCGCCCAAAGTCTCCGATGCCTAGCACGAGTACTTACTGTATCAGGAAGCCGGACAGCACGTCATTACACGCTGCCCGGTTTCCTGATTGGCCGGGAAGCGGGTCCATGCTCTCTCGTCACCATGTAATGACGCAGCGCCCGGCATTCTGATTGTCCGGGAAGCTGGCCTCATGCTCCCTCGTCATCTCATGACAAGGGATCATGGAGCCGGCCTCCCGTCCAATCAGAAAGCAGGGTGTCGCGTCATTACACTGCGCCCGGCTTCCTGATTGGCCGGCCAGACGGCTCCGGCTGGGTAACGGAGGAAGGCCGCGCTCTAGCAGGAGAGGCCCCGGGGTGTGACAGGCTGGACATACCAAGGTTACATAGTTACATAGTATTTGGGGTTGAATAAAGACATACGTCCATCAAGTCCAACCCATATAGGGCCACGCATCATCTCATTCTTAGGGATACTGGTATCCCTGGATATTACGGTCCCTCAAGAAATTGTCCAAAAGTTTCTTGAACAAATCTACATTCTTGGCTGAAATCACGGCCGGTGGCAGTAAGTTCCAGACCTTAACCGCTCTTACTGTAAAGAACCCTCTTCGCCCTTTGTGCTGGAATGTTTTCTCCACCAACTTTAGGTGGTGGCCTCTAGTCTTTGTAATGGAGTTAATCTCAAACAGTTTGTTGCCAATGTTGCTGTCACCATTGAACATCTTGTACATGAAAATCATA